TTGATGTAGCCTCATTTGTTTATTTTTTTCTTTTGTTTCCCTTGCCTGAGGGGATGTATCAGTGAAAATATTACTAAGAGTAATGTCTGAGAGTTTACTCCCTATATTTTCTTCTAAGAGTTCTATGGTTTTCGGTTTTACATTTAAGTCTTTAATCCATTTTGAGCTTATTTTTGTATATGGCATAAGAAGGTGGTCCAGTTTAATTTTTTTTGCATGTATCTGTCAATTTTACCAGCATCATTTATTGAATTGACTGTCTCTACCCCAATGTATATTCTTGCTTCTTTTGTCATAGATTAAATGACCATTTAGGTATGGATTTATTTCTGGGCTCTCTATTCTCTTCCATTGATTTATGTGTCTGTTTTTATGCCAATACCATGCTGTTTTGATTACTATGGCCTTGTAGTATAATTTGATATCAGATAGCATAATACCCCTGGCTTTCTGTTTTTTTTTTCACTTTTAACACATTATAGAGAATTATGTTAAATTGATGGCAATGGGACCTGGCACTATATAATGAACACCTATATAATCTTCACCTATATTCACCAATTGTTAACATTTTTGCCACATTTGCGTGTTTTTTTTATGTACATACAAACACATGCAGTTTTTTCTGAACCATTTGAAAGTTGCGGATATGACACTTTTACCTCTAAATAATTCAGCATATGTCTTCTGAGTACAAAGACATTCCCCTATATAACCACAATATAATTATCAAACCCAGGACATTTTTTTAAAAAGATTTTATTGGGGAATTAGGGGAGGGGAACAGCGTTGGGGAATCAGGGAAGGGGAACAGACAAGTTGCTGTCCTTTTGTTTTTCAGTCTGGTTGTGGAGGATGTTGCTTCACTGGCCGATGTTGGTATTATCATTGCGCTTTTCCCAGGTGAGGCAGTCGCTTGCCAGCCATTGGATGGCCGCTCACGGTGGCTCACAGCAGCTCATGAAAGCACACGCCAGCTGCTGGCCAGCCCCACTGCAGCCTACGCTGTTGCTAGCGACTCACGGCAGCCCAGCTCCAGGTCGAGCTGTTGTTCAGCATCTTAGCTGTAGAGGGCGCAGCGTCACTGGCCCTCATGTGGGATCCGAACCGGGGCCCTGCTGCTCAGAGCTGGCGTCCCAAGCCAACTCTTAACCAACACGCCACTTGGCCAGCCCATCAAATTCAGGAAATTTAACCATTACTTATATTATCTAACATATAGTCCATGTTTAAATGTCCCCAGGTGTCCTAGCAGTTTACCTTTTGATTCAGAGTCCTATGTAAGATCTTTTCCTGCATTCGATTGTCCCCTTTAGTCTAGAGCATTTAGGTTGGTTTGTTTTGTCTTTCATGACACTGACATTTTTGAAGAGTTAGGTCAGGTTCTACCCTACCCTCCCTGCCCTGATGTCCTTCAATTTGTATCTGTCTGATTGTTTCTTTATAAGTAGTTTCAAGTTAAATGTTTTTGGCAGGAATACTACAATAGGTGATGTTCCAGTGTCATCTTTTATACATGTCTTTTATCTTTCTCTTTCAAATGTGTGAAGTCAGGAGTAATTTTTAAAAATTCTAATGTTCGGGGCAGCCAGTTAACTCAGGTGGTTAGAGCGCAGGCTCATAACATCAAGGTTGCCAGTTCGATTCCCACATGGGCCACTGAGATGCGCCCTCCACAACTAGATTGAAGACAACTACTTGACTTGGAGCTGACGGGTCCTGGAAAAACACACTCTTCCTCAATAAAATTTCTTAAAGAAAATCCTAATATTCTTATTTTCAAATATCCAGCAGGTCAGTTATTGATAAGTGAGTTCTGTTATCACGTCGTGATTGAGGCACTGGGCTATTTGTACAGATCACTTGATTTAAGGGCAACCTACCTGGGATCTTCTCATTCATCAATCCATGGAATCCTGCAGTGAGTTCTGTATCTCAGGACAAATAAGTTTCTGGTTATTCATGTTCTATTGTATGGCACCTTGACAACTTTTGATCTTTTGCTACCTTCTCAGGGAAATTGAGCAGATTCAGGGGAGGAGATATTGGCCTCAAGGCATGAGCGAGCGGTATTCTGAGGGTTCTAGGAGTGGCACCTCATTATGGGAGTACTTGCTGAAATAAAACTACAACAGTTCCCAGAGTTCTAATATAGTGTGAGTTCTATAATGTGAATGAATGCAGGTAAGTTACAGAGGGCTAAAAGCATGAACTTGGTACCTCATGAAATTTCAGATAAATCAAAAGGTGCTTCCAGAAAAGGGGAAAAAGCCTTGAGACCCATTATTTCCATTTCTGCTGAGGGAAAGACCCAACAGAAGACACAAAATAATGTTGAGATGCGGAATGGCCCAGGGAAAGAAGCATCAAAGAAAAAGATTATTCCTCTAAGATTTTATCTGTGGGTAAAATGGATGGTGTAGTATAGCTTTCACAGTAAAGGGTTTTGTCAGCTGAAGTGGACAGTGGAAAAAGTCTAAATAACCACAATTTACCAGCATCCCCTACTGTGGCTTCTTAGCACAAATAATCCCTGGGAATCCACATCTGAGCTCATCTCAGAAAAGTGGCTTTTGTCATAGCCCAGATGACACTTCAATTCCTCAAAGTGTTTTTTGCAGAGATCTCAGTTTGAGAAAAAATTGTTGAAGACCTCAAATGATACTAATAAAGAATAAAAATTATCTCGGACTCTTTCGTATCTGTAATTTTTTTCTACTTTAGTTAGAACTCTTTGATGAGATATTTTCTTTTATAACTCCTAGGAGTGCTGTTAATCAAGGTCTAGGGATTTGTTTTTTTTTTAGCCCTTTAAAATATTGTAACAGATTTTTGCTAAGAAGAATAATTTTTATGTGATTCACATTGCTATGGCAGGTATATGAATGTTGATCTCACAGGGCTCCATTTCTAAAAGTATACTGAAGCAATGTTATAAAAGTTCTAATTGTGTTACTTTTACATTGCTATAGTTTATCTATTTTGAATTTATGATTTAATGTTCCATATAAACTAAATTTACAATTGCTATCCCCAAAACCTGTTTTATGAAATATGAATAACAAAAGATATAAATTGGAATAAACTAAAACCATAAAGTCAGTTTAAAGTACCAGAGTCCATGGACTTGATATCATACGTTTTAAACATTTTAATTGCCTCTCATTTTATCAATGATTTGTAAGATATTACCTGTTAAGGATTACTTATCGGCTGCCTTCTCCCTTATCATCCAACTAAATCTCACCTAGTATGTTAGAAAGCTAAATGGAAGATGGAGCTCAGCTGTGTGATCTTCAGAACGTTATTTCACTTCTCTTAGCCTGAATTTCATTATTTATAAAACGGGAGAAATTTTTTTTAAAAATTAAAAAATTTTTTCAATTACAGTTGACATTCAATATTATATTAATTTTGGGTGTACAACATAGTGGTTAGACATTTATGTAACTTACAAGGTGACCCCCTGGATAAATCTAGTACCCCCGGACACCGTACATAGTTATTACAATATTATTGAATATATTCCCTAATCTGTACTTTAGGTCCCCCTGACTATTTTGTAACTGCCAATCTGTATTTCTTAATCCCTTTACCTTTTTCACCTAGTCCCTCAACCCCCCTCTTATGTGGCAACCGCTAGTTTGTAAAACGGGAGAAAATATACACCTACTTTTGAGATTACTGAGAGGATTGCATGAATTAATGCACACAGCATATTCTTCAATACATAGCAGTTATTAGCTGTCATGGTCTAACCCGAGTCCACCTTTTTCCATGAAGCATCTCCTGGTTCCCTCCAGCCCACATATTAAGCCTACACTAATACTTAGTGTTATTTGTCTTAAATAGTGCCCCACCCCTTTCACATATGTCAGTGTGGTCTACCAGGCAGACTGACAGCCTTGAGAGTTATTCCCTGTACTCCACCCAGTACCTTGCTCGACAGTAACCGCAATAACCAACAGTTTGGCAAGTCCTCGTAGTTCAGTGATTCTCAGCTCGGTCCTGGGTGGGCCGCATCAGTGTTGCCTGCCGGAGCCGAATCTGACTCAGTCACACGGTGAGGGGTACCGTTGGTTTGGCTTTGGTGGAACCACAATGCACAGAACAGATGCAGCCTATAGTTCTGAGAGAAGACAGGTGCACTGCGCGGGTGAATGTGGGCGGGAGCAAGAGCTGGGTGGCTGTGTCCCGAGGGCCTCCCTAGCGAGGCAGAAATCTCAGGAGGGGCATTGGCCTTCTAGGCTGTGCAGTGGTGTGTGCCCTTCAAACACATCAGACCCGTTGTGGGGCCGTGACTGTAAGAATACAAGCTGGGGATCCGGGGACATCCCAGACCCGCCCCTGCGATCCCAGGCAGATCCAGAACTCAGAGGCCATTAATGTATAGAGAGGTCACCTCCTGAAGTCAGGGTCTAAGGCAGCGGTTCTCAACCTGTGGGTCACGACCCCTTTGGGGGGGTCAAACGACCCTTTCACAGGGGTCGCCTAAGACCATCGGAAAACAAAAAGATATTTACATGACGATTCATAACAGTAGCAAAATTACAGTTCTAGAGTAGCAACGAAAATAATTTTATGGTTGGGGGTCACCACAACATAAGGAACTGTATTAAGGGGTCACAGCATTAGGAAGGTTGAGAACCGCTGGTCTAAGGCACTGTCTGTGCAGCCAAAGTCAGGGGACAGTCACAGACCGTGGGAGGAAGATGCTGCGGAGCTCCGCCCGCAGAGGGGGCGGGGGTCACCTTTAGTGGCCCAGGGCTGGCAAATGAGTCATCCCTTTCCACGTGGCCTCGGCCTGACCCGGCATCCGCCCAACCACACGGCCACCTAGGTGCGCGCCTCTGGGTCAAGTAGTGACAGCAACCAACTCAGCGCTTGGCCCCTGCCGCCCAAGCCCCGCCCCGGCCGGGTTGGACCAGGCCCCGCCCACCCCGCGCACAGCTCCGCCCCCGCCTAGGCCCCACCCCCGCGGCGGCCGAACGAGTGGGCCGCGCCACCACGTGCTCCTACGCAGGGAGCCGCCCACAGCTGGGCTGATGCCCGGGCTGAGCTCTGGCTCTGCGGCGTCACTCGCAGCTGGGCGGCGGTAAGCATGGCCACGGCGGCGGCGGCGGTGACTCGTGGGGTCGGGGCGAAGGCGGCGGCGGCTCTGCGGGGCGGTTGCAGGACTGCGCCCCGGGGACGGCCGCGCGCTGGCCCCGTGCGACACTTGTGCACAGCACCTGGGACTGCCCCGGACATGAAACATTACCTGTGGGAGCGCTACCGGGAGGCGAAGAGGAGCACGGACGGTGAGTGCGGCGGCGCCCCCCGAGTCCCCTGTACCTGTGTGTGGGGGGGTGCCTTCCCGCCGCGCTGGGGTGCTCCGTTCCCTCCCACGCGGCCAGCTGGGAAGCGGGCACCCGCAGACCCGGCTGCTGACCTCCAGGGCCCCCGGTCGTGACCCTCGGGCTCCCCCAACCCTTATCGCGGGCGACATCGCCTCTGCAGTGCGATTTAGGGAAACGCGGAAAAATGCACTTCCAGAAACTTTACAGCTCTTGCTTTTCTCCTGTTGGGAAAGCTGTTTTATAAGTTCTTGGGATTTTTAGCCAGAAATCTCTATTGGAAGCACTTGGGGCTCTCCCGGGGATTCCACCTACATGGCTTGGGAGACGGTCACCCGAACGCACCGGTAGGTGTTGTTATTAACCAACAGTAATAATAGTAACAGCCGGAATCCTGCAGGCGGCGGATTACTCTGGAGCGGGGCTCCTGGGCAGGTGGCAGTGACTGAGGCTAATCTATTTTTCTTCTTGGTGTAAGGGTAGGATTTGCTGTGTTTGAAATAGGAGGGGATTCAGGTCGGATGTGTTCTGGGCTATCTGCTAACCTCAGTGAGGAGGGGATACCAAAGAGTGACTACTTTGTGTCCAAGTGAACATAAAATTAGCTTGGCTTGGTTGTTACTAAGAGGAATGGGAAGAGGCAGAAAGAGGACCGAGTAAAATACTAGTGCCAGGCGCACAGGTTGTCCATACCTGCTAGGGAAGTGCCACATCCCCATCCTATAGGTGGGAAAGGCGAGACTCAAGTTGAAGGAACCTGGCCAGGGTCACACCTTGACTGGGATCTGCCTCAGCCCCCAGTCCGCTCTCTTATTTCCTGCGCTGCTCTGCCTTCCAGTAGCAGCTGACCATTTGGGAATTGGTGTAAAGAGCCAGTGATAAGCCCTTGGTGCTGCTGCTTTCAAGGAAAATTTAGAACAGAAAATTTTAAACTGATTTTTTTGGGGGGTGGTGGTGAAAGTTGTACACAGATATAGAGAGAGACTATCTGGTGGGAGAGAACATTTTGTAGGATCCCATTTTCCGTCTTTTGGCCAGAAGTCAGTTTAATGAAAGAAAGCAATTGGGATAATTTTCGGAGGGAACTCCAAAGTGGCTAGTAATGCAAAATGCTGTGAAATAGGGCTTATTTTCTTAGTGTTGCTTTGCTCAGAGTTAATTTTGCATTGGTTTTTGAAGTGGTTGTGTGGTATGGTGGAAGAAGAGTGGTTTTATAGACATTGGGAATTGCAGAGCTTCCGTGAAAGAAATCTAGATCATCTAGCCCAGCTTTGGTGCAGACAAGACTTTGTTTAATTGAAATTTTTCATTGAGATAATTGTATATTTACATGCAGTTCTAAGAATTAATACAGGGCGATCTGGCATACCCTTTACCTAGTTTCTCCCAATGGTAACATGTTGCAAAACAATAGTACAGTATCACAACCAGTATATTGATATTGATACATTTCACAGCTTTTATTCATAGTTCTCTAGTTTTACTTGTACATGTATATTTAGTTCGATACAGTTTTTTCCTGTATCCAGCATCACAGTTAAGACACAGAATAGTCCACAAAGAGGATTATTGTCTTTATAAGAGGTTGTCTTTATAACCACACCTCCTTCCTTGTGGTCTCTCAAATCCCGAGGGCATTGTCTGTTCTCCATTTCTAAAATTTTGTCATTTCAAAAATGTTGTGTAGGTGGAATCATATAGTATGTCACCTTTTGGAATTGGCCTTTTTCACTGAACACCCTTTCCTGGAGATTCACCCAAGTTGTTGTATGTATTCTTTTTATTGCTGAGTAGCATTCCATGGTAGGGTTGCACCACAGCTTAACCTTGTTTAACCACAGTTTCCTCTTGAAGGACACCTGGGTTGCTCCCAGCTTTTGACTATTACAATAAAGCTGCCATAAACATTTGGGTACAGGTTTTTGTGTGAACAAAGTTTTCATGTCTCTAAATGCCATGCCACTGCTTGGTTGAATGGCAATTATATGTTTAGTTTTATAAAAAACTACAGACAAAATTTTTGCCATTCTTATTCTGTGGATGAGGTATGCCGCTTGCAGGCTGTGAGACCATGGGGAGGCCACAAAACCTCAGTTTCCTCATCTGTAAGATGGGATGCTGGCAGTACCAACATCTCATAGGGCCATGGTGAAAAATGAGTGAGTCCGCCCATGAAAGGGGTTTAGAGCAGTGTCTGAGAATGAGACAGCTGAAGTGCTGGGTGGTAAAGATGGCGATCGGCCAGAGTTTGGGCTTCGGTGTGTGACAATTCCAGGGGGACTTGGGAGTATGACGTCTGGAGGGAGATTTTGAGATTTATTAGCTCTGTGACCTTGGTGTAAAGTTGTTTTCCTCTCTGACCTCAGTTTTCTCAACTGTAATCGGGATAATGTGAGGATTTTTCGCTTGGGCTTGGCACTCAGCAGATGCTCAGTAAATAGCAGCTGTTGTTATCAGCTAGTAAATGACTCTTTCAGCCTTAGACACACAGTAAGGGGTGGAGGTAGGTTACTTAGCTCTGGAGTGTAGGTCTCCTTCACCTAGGGCAGCACCATAACTAGCTATGTGGCCTTGAACAAGCCGCCTGACCTCTAGTTTTGGTCTCTCCCTTTGTAGAGTGAGGCTGCTGGACTAACGTGTAAGTCGTTTCAAGTGTTACAGATCTGTGATCAGGTATTCGTGTGCCTCATCCCATCTTCATACCCCAGCACATGGTCCCTCTCTCACCCCTTGGAACACAGGGACTTTAATTTGACTTTTCCTTCGTTGCCCTGTTTGGGGCTATACCATCCCTACCCCTTTAGCTGAAGTCTGTATGAGTATATGTGCCCAGCCTGTGCTCATTCACCAAGCATTTATTAAGCACCTAGCAGTGGACTTAAAGGTTGTTGATTCACAGGTGGATGAGTCTGAGAGGGAGGGGACCTGTGCTGCATGGATGGGGAGACTGGTAAACAGATAAGTGACAGTCCAGCTTGGGGAGATAAACATAGGACCCAGGGACTCTGAGATCAGAGCAGGTCACTGCTGGGGGATGCAGGAAACGTTTGCCTACGCTGACACTTGAACTATGTAGGAGTGAGAGGTCAGAAGAAATACTGATATTCACACAAAAACGTATAGTTTTTGTTGTTGGTTTCAGTTTACAAGAAGACAAAAGAATTTTGTCTTTTCTCTTCCTGATTATTTCTCTCTGGCCACTTGATCTCTTGCTGTAATCCACCCTGTTCAGGACCTTCCTTTCAAAGGGGAGCCCAGAATGAAGCCAGCTCAGGGAAGACATGATTTTTACTCTTTGTTTTACCCTTTCCTCCCCGCCTCCATCCTTTTTTTTTCTCACTTTAATTAATTCTTTTTATAAAGTGTATTTTTTAGATCAGTTTTAGATTTAGAGAAAAATTACATGTTTTTATAACTCCTATAACGCATTTTCTCCTACTAACCTCTCACCTGACATGAGAATGGTACGTTTGTCACAATGAATGAACCAATATTGATACATTGTCAATATTGTATTAACTAAGGTCCATACTTACTTCAGAATTCCTTAGTTTTTAATCTAGTGTCCTTTTCTACTCCAGGATCCCATCCAGAATAGCACACTACGTTTAGTTGTCATGTCTCCTTGGGCTCCTCTTGGCTATGACAGTTTCTCAGAGTTTCCCTGTTTTTGATGACCTTGGCAGTTTTGAGGAGTACTGGTCACATACTTTGTAGAATGTCCCTCAATTGGAATTTCTTCCTTTTTAGCTTTAAGATTTTTTTTTGAAGTGTAATATTTATGCCTTTTGTATCAAACTCAGCTCCAAGAAAATGTTTTTTGTATTTTCAGGAACAGAAATATTGATTTGTGACCTCTAGCAAAAATTTCCTGTAGAACTGTGGTTCTCAACCGTGGGGTGGGGGAGGGGGTAGGTATCTTGTTCCCCAAGGGACTTTTGGCAATATCTGGAGACCTTTTTGATTGTCACAGCTTGGGGGGCAGGGGAGGCTGCTGGCATCTAGTGGGTGGAGGCCAGGGTTGCTGCTAAACATCCTACAAGCACAACACCCACAACAAAGTGTCATCCAGCCCCAAATGTCAATGGTGCCAAGACAGAAATCTTTTCCTAAAATGGTGACTTCTAAGAAATCATTGTGCGATTATAACTTAAAGGGGTGGATGTATTTGCATGTGGTCTGTTATTTTCTGTTACGTTGTGTGCTGTGTGTGTCTTTGAACTTAATCCCCGGGCTTCCCAGGTGCGGTGTGCGCATTCTGTACACCCTGTCCTGGTGTGTACAGAATGGGAGCGTTCCTGTTCTTCCAGGAAGAGCTGCTCTAGCTGTACATTTGGAGAGCTTGGTGGGTTTCCCCCCCTTTAAAGTCATCTGAGAGCCTGGTCTGTTTAGAAGGTTTGGCTACTTGGCTGGGGCTATAAAGTATATTGTAGAAAAAAATATGGGGATTAGCGTGAGTCGTTACAAGCTTTTACTGGTGGTTGAAGGATTTTTTCAGAGTTCTTGGTAGAGAGCATTGAGGACTTAATAAAAAATTTTGGACTGTGTGTAGCACCATGATGTAAGCTTGACATGTATAGAATGAGCATCAAGTGCAACCCTTAGATACCTGTGAGATAATTTAAAAATTACACTTGTGTCCCACCATCTTTGGAGAGATGTGGTTAAAGAAATGTGGAAAATATATGTTAAAGAAGATTCTTTACAGATAGGCTTATCAGGGCTAGTAAATCAGAGCCTTTAAAATGCAGGACTCTCCAAGAGGGAGGACGTAAGTGTAGCCTTCCCTAAATAAATTTGACCATGGACCCCCCTTTTTGGGGTAATGGCTCAAAATGGAGGTTCTAAAGAATATTTTTTGGGATGTTCTAATAATATAACAAGAATATACATTATTAATGCCCAAAGATGCTTAATTGTACAATCAGAAATATGCTTTTTCTGTACCCTCTATGTGCCGGTTA